CACATAACATAGCAATTCCGCTCCTAGGTATGTACCCAAGAGAAATGAAAACATATGTCCACACAAAAACTTATACATAAATGTTCACAGCAGCATTATTCATAATAGCCCCAAAGTGGCAACATCCCTGATGCCCATCAACTGCTGAATGGATAAATAAAAGGTGGTATATCCACATAACAGAATATTATTTGGCACTAAAAAGGAATAAAGTACTGATCCATGTTACAACATGGATGAAACTTGGACATATTATGCTACATGAAAAAAGCCAGTCACAAAGGACTATAAATATTGTCCTTTTATATGGAATGTCCAGAATAGGAACATCTATCAAAATAGAAAGCAGGTTTCCCAGGGCTGGAGAAAAAGGGTGGGAGGTTATGGGATGATGGCTGATAGGTGTGCGGTTTTTGGGAAGGGAGATGAAATGTTCTAAAATTGACCTTGGAAATGATTCCACAACTCTGCACATATACTAAAAATCACTGAAGTATATACTTTAAATGGGTGAACACAGGCTATGAAAATTATATCTCCATAGAGATGTTGGGGGGGAAAGACCATGGAGGGATGTCACTCCTGAAGAGGGTGAAGCCCGCCCAGTTGGGGCAACAACCCAGCCATGAGGTGCAGGACACCTGGCCTCCTCCTTTTCCTGTGGGCGTCTTTGGCTAAAGATGAGCCTCCCTCAGGGCTCAGCTGCAGAATGTGCCTGGATTGGAGGTCAGAGGACTGGGGTCCAAGTCCTGGTCATGCTTCAGGCTCAAGCTCTGCTCTTGATTAAGCAAAGTACTGGCACAGCCCCAGTGATCTCTGACCCTTCCAGCACCATGCCCAGGAATGGGGACTATGACCATGTACTGTCAGCACAGCTAAGTCATGCAGCTGAGCAAGGTCTTTCTATATGTTTTTGAAAATAGTTTGCAAAAACTCTACCATCTAGCTTTCCTGGGTGGCCTTAGACACATTGTGTGTCTCTGTGAATCTCATTCTTCTCACCTTAACATGAGAGCAGTTGAGAGGTGATTGAGTTTCCTTCAGACGCTGACATCTGTTGTTTTCTATCATCCTCTATTAAGGTCGCCTTTTTTCTTGCCATATTGTAAACACTGTTATGTTCTCTCCCTACTCTCACCAAGTAAGATTCCATCCTTTCAGCAAGAGA